AATTAAAAACTTCAATTTTCAATGGTTAAATACAAATTATTATCACTTCATATTTTGTCAATCTAAACATACATGACAAATAAAATAAATTCAGCTTTTATTTTCATAATATTAGCTGTCCGGTCCGCGTTGCCGGCCCGTACTATTAGTCTTAAATGCATATTTTTTAAAGCCTATAAGAACAAAGATCTGAATTATGTAAGCGGCACAATTTTTATTATAAGTAAAATAACTCCATAGTAATTTCTAAATAGAAATAAACATTCATGGCAAAAATTATAATAGATAATCACCCACTGTCGGTTTTAGATATTTTGAATAGGCTGATCTTACTTTTCAGCCATAGGCATTAATTGAGTGTTAAAAACCTATATTATATAGAACATCTATAATAGTCCCATGTGGAAACTCAGCTCAATTTTTGGTATTGTAAAGAGCTTAGCAACATTTTCCATTCAAATGAGCTGTAATTTGGGATTTGTATTTTCAACGTTTAGAATACCGTGCGTGTGGCATTTAATTTTGTCCACCTCATAATTAGGGGCAGAATGATTTCAGAATAGTCAAAGATAATTACTTTTCTACACCCATTACCGTAAGAATGGAATTTATTTATTTTTGTCATTTAAATTGTGCGTTGGAGACCCCATAAAGTTCATATTTTTCAACATAGTATAATTAAATGACGATCAAAGAAATTCATATTAGTAATTTTTTTATGTTTCTGCCGCAATTTCCGAGTGAAAGTGTTTGACATTTCGGAGTTCATGTCATGGAGACGTACATCCCAAATCTACGTTCCCAACCAATATTCTCTTGGGGGTTACAAAATCAATACAATACAAAATTTTCTTTTCTGACAACACATTGTTTGGGAAAGTGGACTTGGAGGTACACTAATGTAGGAACTATACTCAAATAAATGTCTATAAGGGCAATTATTTGTAAGATCATTCTCTACCCCAGAATAGCCTAAAGACCAAGATGGACCCTACTCCGAAAATTGAAAATTTCATGAGAAGAGGTTTTTTACCCCCTTAGAAACAAATAAAGGCCTAAAAATGAAAAAAATAAAATGTCCAAGACCCCGAAAATTGCTTAAATTATATTATGCTTATTCCAAAACATGATCATTTTTTACGAGGATGGTTTCTTTTCAAATTACTAACCTTTGCTGAAATTAGTATGCAAAATATGGTTGTAAACTATACTCGAAATTGGGCTGTGTCCTTAACCGAGGGTCATATATCCTGACCTGCAAAAGCGATTTAAGATATCTTGAAAGTTTAGAAAGAATTTCTAGAAGGATATAAATCCTTTTTTTACTAAGTGTTCAATTTACTCTATCATTTTGGAACCTTTATATTCGGTATTTCACTGACTGCAGTCTCAATAAATTGCTTTTTTATACCCTCCACCTTGGAAAGGAGGGTATATTAACTTTGTCATTCCGTTTTTAACATGTCTAATTATTCGTCGTAGACCCCATAATGTGTATAATCAGCATAAAATTCTAAGTCGATTTAACGGTGTCCGTCTGTCTGTCTGTTGAAATCACGATACAGCCCACATTATTTGACGTAGAGCGCCATTTAGCAGGGCAATTTGTATTGTGTCTAGAATGGTTGGTATTGAAAATGAGATATATCGGTCCACGTTTTGGTATAGTCCCCATATAACGGTACCTCCCGATATTCGGTATTTTGATGATTTATGCCACATTTGTCTGAAAATTGGTATTTGTAGGTCATAACGGGTCCTAGTTCGTGTGGCGAGACATTACATGTATTGGTCCACGCTTTGGTATAGCCCTCATATAAAGGTACCTCCCGATATTCGGTATTTTGATTATTTTTGCCAGATTTTTTCACGGATTTGTCTAAAAATTGGTATTAGTTGGTCATAATAGGTTTTTAGCTCCGGTGGCGAAACATTGCATGTATGGGTCCACGATTTGGTATAGCCCCCATATAACGGTACCTCCCGATATTCGGTATTTTGATGGTTTTTGCCACAGTTTTTCACGGATTTGTCTAAAAATTGGTATTTGTAGATCATAATGAGACCTAGTTCGTGTGGCGAAACATTGTATGTATAGGTCCACGTTTTGGTATAGTCCCCATATAACAGTACCTCCCGATATTTGGTATTTTTATGATTTTTGACACATTTTTTCACGGATTTCTCCAAATATTGGTAGTTGTAGGTCATAATGAGTCCCAGTTCGTGTGGCGAATCATTGTAATTATAGGGCCACGTTTTGGTATAGTCCCCATATAACAGTACCTCCCGATATTCGGTATTTTGATGATTTTTGTCACATTTTTCATGGAATTGTCTGTAAATTGGTATTTGTAGGTCATAATAGGTGCCAGCTCCTTTGGCGAAACATTGCATTTATAGGTCCACGATTTGGTATAGCCCCCATATAACGGTACCTCCCGATATTCGGTATTTTAATGGTTTTTGCCACATTTCTTCGCGGATTTGTCTAAAAATTGGTATTTGTTGGTCACAATAGGTTCCAGCTCCTTTGGCGAAACATTGCATTTATAGGTCCACGATTTGGTATAGCCCCCATATAACGGTAATTCCCGATATTCGGTATTTTAATGGTTTTTGCCACATTTCTTCGCGGATTTGTCTAGAAATTGGTATTTGTTGGTCTTAATGGGTTCTAGCTCTTTTGGCGAAACACTGTATGTATAGGTCCACGTTTTTGTATAGCCCCATATAGCCGTATTTCCCGATATTCGGTATTTTGACGATTTTTGGGACATTTTTCCATAATTATGTCAAAAATTTGGTATATAGGCGTAAAAATGTGATATATTAACATTTTCATTTTGACTTTTGGAATGTACAATAGTAATGTTTTATTTTGCATCATTTTTTTCCATTTTGACTTACTTTTTTCTAATGCACATTTGTAGTGTTTTTATATTTTATTTTTGAATTCGAATATTAATTTGAATTGACTTGATTTCTTGAAAACTGAAATTGATGGCGGGTTACATGGAAGTGTAGTACCGAATTATGTGGTGGCGAAACGAAATAGATGATATCGAAATAATTTAACGCGGTCACACCAAAGTTAAAAGATAATTCAATATCGCTAAAAAATCATTGCAAAAATTCTAAAATCGGAAAAAAATCGAAAAAAAATTCAATGGAATCGAATTTTCAAATAATAGTACATTCTATTGACAAATGTTGTAAGGACCTTTAGCGACAGCGAGCAAGTTTAAGATTTTTTCAATTTGTTATTATTTTTTTGTCAATTTTTTTTTTCTTTTTTCAATTTGCATTATCATATTGAATTCAGTAGATTTTTTTGTGAACAAAATAAAGAATAAATTTTCACAATATACAATTTTTCACCAAAAAAAGTGAAATAAGTGCGAAATAGGATGTTAACTGACATCTACCTTTCAACTCCAGGGCCTACATCGTAGTTAACCCGGAAGATTCGAAAACATTTAAACAAACAGAAGAGACCGAAAAAGCCTTATGGGGCTCATTTCAAAGCGTGGACCTACTTCTTTCATGTGACAATAATCCGTCCAATGAGAGCTCAAAATGCAAAATTCTTTGGGAGTACAATCAGTAAAATACCAAATATGAAGGGTGCAAAATAGTAGAGCGAATAGGACTTTTAGTAAGAAACGGATTTCTATCCTTCCCAAAGATTCAAGATACTTTAAATCGCTTTCGCAGGTCATGATATCGATCATAACTCACGGATAAAGGTACGACCCGATTTCATATTTTTGACATCTTTCTTTCTAAGAGGGTAAAGAACCTATTCGCATAAAATTTGAAATTTTCAGAGTAGGGCCCATATTGGGGTAGGGAACCATCATACAGATAATTGCCACATACGAATTTATTTAAGTAAAGTCCCCACATTGGAATATCCCCAAGTCCACTTTCAAATCTAAAGTGTGGTTAGAAAAGAACATTTTGTATTCTATTGAATTTGTAGATTTGAGATGTACATATATATGAATTAAATTGTGAAAACATGAACAAATTACAAATATAAGAAAGTAGCACTGGACCGAATATTTGTTGAATCATCATTGAATTATACTATGATGAAATATGGACTTTATGGCGTCTCCAACTTACAATTTAAATGGCTCTCAATTTTGAGTTTATAAAACTATTTTTACTTATTTAAATCACGCGAATTTTTTTCAGTTTGACATGCTATGTTGTTCTGCTATATTTTTGATTTGGCCTCTATTTGTCATCTTGGATTATAAGGGGTAGAAGAAAGTTTTCAATGTAGGTCGATGTTTCGGAGTAGTGCCCATATAAAGTTACCTCCTGATTTTACCATATTTCAAAGGATTTGGCTAAAAATGTGTATTTGTATTAAACAAAATATTCAACATATCTACAAATTTTCTCCATGTAATAGTACCCCCTCAAGTCCACCTTTTGGCGGACAAACAGACCCTCAATTTTGACGTGTACAAAATACAGTAAATTCCAAATAACTGCTCATTTGACTGGAAAATTTTGCTACGATTTTTACCATACTGAATATTAATTTGATCCCTTACATGGGGATAAGATTGGTATATACTTTTTAATAGATTTGTATAGCATATCCACACATTTAAAGCCCACGGTTTAAATATTGAAGCCCACGACTTAAATATGGGTACAGGTATTTTAAAACACTTAATCAACCAGTACGTGAACTCTTATATCAGTCATATCTGTGAATAATTATGCTTTGACAAATATGCATAATAGACAAAAACTACGGGACGGCAACGCGGACTTGGCCAGCTAGTAAAATATAATAAATACTACAAATGTACATTAGAAAAAAGTAAGTCAAAATGGAAAAAATCATGCGGTGATTTGGCCCCTGAACCAATTTGCAGATCAAAGTTTCGTTATATTCTTGGTCTTTTGTATAAATCTGAAAATTATATTAAAAAAAAAAATGAAAACTAATATCCTACTTTTTACTTATTTTACAGAAATTTAAAGAATTAAAAGGATCTTCCTCCTGCAAATCATCGTCATCGTCAATTGATATTGTTTCAAGGTTCCGTTTCCAAGCTTCATTTACCTTAACCACTAAAGATTTTATTCCATTTAATATTGTATCACACGAATCTATCATGTCAGATCGCATCTATTTAAGATCAAGTAAAGCATGCAACATAGTTCTATCTTCATCTTCTACTTCATCCAATTTACTGGAAGAGATACAAGTGAAAGGCCGTTCTGAATTACGTATTCCAACAAATATTTATGCGGGCTACTTAAATGTTGAGGATCCGAACGTAAAACATAACTGGAATCGACGCTGGTGTACATTGGACGGTATTCGTATGCAGATATGGCGGGATGAGAATGTATTGAATGAAGTGCCCCTGTCACGTTTGTATCTAAAAGCTAATAAGGATGTAATAGGGCCTGCCCCTAGAAATCAGTGCGCACGTCCACGTTCATTTTACATAACATGCACAATACCCGAATTGAAGGCAAATGCTACAGAGAGGAATATATTTTTCGCTGCTGATACACAAGACGACTTAAATGAGTGGCTAATAAATATAAATCGGACTTTATCATTAATAAATTTTTGGTTATATGAAAGACAATAATTAAAACTATTTTGCGTTGTAATTATACATTTTGTTATATACTAAAAGTTTTTAATCGTTCAAATTTGTATTGCAAGACGTATATGCAACATCTATTAACAAAACCATTTGTCTTTTATATTAGATTAAAATAAATGAGGTATATATAAGGTTAAAAACATTGACTTACAAAATGTTTGTTGTAGTTTCAGCATTCCCCCGGAACGGTGCAACACAAAACACACGTACAGAACAATTTGGATGAGTTTGTAATATGTATTATGTATGAGTAAGTAACGCCCAGGATCAATAACAACTCATAATTGAAAAAATAAAAAATAAAGTATTAATTGATGACCAGGATAATCGATAGCACTACGCATTGCAAAAACGGAAGATTCAATGTAATTGTGCTAAACAAACAGAAAAATTGGAGTTTAGAAGATATTTTTGTGAGTCGTTAACTGTGTCCTTTCAAGTTGCATTGTGTGCCGACAACGATAGATTAAAAGGACGTTTAGATTTACGAATAATATCCACTGGATTTATGAATACGATTTACGTGACATATACGCATATGGAATTGATATTTGAAGTTACTAAATTCAATCTAAACTTGCTTTAAGTCCGTACTCAGAGAGAAGGCGACGGAATTCTGATGCGAATTTACGTCCATCGTGTATAAGCTGTCTCAGACATCTGCAGAAATAGCTGAAGAACTCGTGGTTATAATAATTCTAGGCAGTCTCGTTTATCGTTTTGTTATTGCATTGGAAACGCGAGATGATTCACCAAAATTGTGTGCACTCAAGGTAAAGCGATAAGTGAATATCATCCGCAAATTTGGGAGATGATTATTCCATTCAAACATTTGTGGCACATCGCAAAAGAAACAAAGTACAGGAAGCAAATCCAATGCGAAAATTTGAAACATGGAGAAACAAAGGTGGTCTTTATATTAATAGTTTAATTTAGAGTTCATATATTATTATGTGTGTAAATATATCTGGGTGACGTGGCTCAGTTCGCCGACGGCTTATGTTACCGATCAATCAATCAATCATTGCAGACTAACGACCCAGTCAACGCTGTTGTTGCTGCTTGTTATTATACCCTTCACCATAGTATGGAGGGCATATTAAGTTTGTTGTTGTTACAAACGGAATGGAACACCTCGAAATATACATTTTAGACCCCACAAAGTATATATCATGTTGATCAGCAAAAAATTCTATGTCGATTTAGCGATGTCAGTCCGTCTGTGGAAATCACTCTAGCTTCCGAAGGAAATGAAGGACTGCAGGACTTTTGGTATTGAAAATGGGCCATATAGGTCCACGTTTTCCTATAGCATCCATATAACGGTACCTCCCTATATTCGATATTTTTATAATTTTAGCGACATTATTCACCAGAATTGTTTCAAATTTGGTATTTAAAGTTCGAAATGAATGCTACAGCCTATGGCAGAAAATTGTCTGTGCAAGTCCACGTCTTCGTATAGCCCCCATATAACGGTACCTCCCAATATTCGGTATTTTAGTGATTTTTGTCTCATTATTCACCGGAGTAGTTTCAAATCACGTATTTAGAGTTCGTATTGGGAACTATAGTCTGTGACAAAAAATTGTCTATGCAGGTAGGTCTTTGTATAGGCCCCATACATCTGTACCTCCTACTATTCGGTATTTTGACGATTTTAGGTACAATACACACCGTTATATGTCGTGTTTGAAGTTCGTAATGGATGATACAGCCTGTGACAGAAAATTGTCTATGCAGGTCCAGGTCTTCGTATAGCTCCGATATAACGGTACCTCCCTCTATAGAGTATTTTGATGACTTTACCTACATTATTCACCCTTTTCGAATTTGAATATGGTAATGCCTATGTAGGTCCACGTCGTGTAGACCCCAATATAACGGCTATATTCCGTATTTTTAAGATTTTAAACGAATTTTTAATGCATTTTATTTTTTTTTTATTTTTTTACTACCACTACTACTTTTTAACTTGTTACTACTTGTTTTGGTCATGGACGAAATGCATTGTCCTAACGGCATGTTGTAATGAACAGCGACTTACGTCGTCACAGCGTTTACAAAATGAAATTTAAATGTTAACAAGAAATAATAAAACTAAATACTGAAGTTAATGTATATAAATATTTGTGATTTTTTTTCATATTATTATTAATTAGTGCGGTTGTAAGATATAGAGTTTGAAGTGAGTTCTACCTCCCGTGGCAGAACCGGTATGGAAACATTGTGCATACTAGTTCACGATTTTCATATAACGGTACCCACTAATATTCGGTATTTTGATGGTCCTAGCCACATTTCTCCAAAAAATTGTTTTTAATTTGGTAGTTAAGAATAGCAATAGATAACAAACCTTGTAGTAGAAAAGAAAATATAAGCTCCTGTTTTAGTATGGCTCCCATATAATATTTATATTTAAAAAAACTTTAACTTCATTCTCCTACACATCTATTATTTGCAGTTTAAAATGAAAAACCTTTGGTGGAGAGTATTAAAAGTCCCTGCCCGGAAGAACTTGGAGTTTTTTACTTGTCTGTTTGTTATAATCACGTCATCTTTCGAACGAATTGAGATAGAAGGCTAAAATTTTGCACACGTGTGTATTTTGCTAGTAGGCAGGTTAAGTTCTTAAATGGGTCATGTCGGCCCACGTATTCGTTTGGCCCCTATATAACGGTACCTCTCAATATTCAGCATTTTGATGATTTTAGCGACGTTATTCGCCAGATATTTGAAGTTCGCAATGGATACTTTAACCTATGACAGAAAATTGAAAAGTTTTAAAGGACTTTCTTAATTTTCAAATTCGTTCAAAATGTGGAGGGTTTTTAACTTAGTTCCTTTTTTATTTGTTTGTAACCTATGTTGTAGCGCATTGTCTGCGCTTTAAAGTAAGTGTCTAGTTCTCCGTAAGGAGCTCAGTACGTCAATAATTTGCATTTTTTGGCATACTTCTATACCATTTTCAAATTACAATTTTTCCTTATTTTCGATATATTGAGCAGGTTTTAACGGCAGGCAGTTCGATTTTATTAAATGTAGAGATCTGTATATTATAAAGGTCTATGTTGGTCTTGTTTTAAATGTAGAGATCTTCTTGTTGATGATTGCCTTTTTAAGGAAAGTAAGTCTGAAATCGAGAGTAAAAGAAAGATTTTAATTTATATTAGAAGAAAACTTAAAAATCTTAAAAATGCTGTTGACAAATATTTCTGATGACTCTCCTAAATGAAAAACCATCTGATGGATGGATGTCTGATGCTCTTTTTATAAAGGACCAAGATCATCGACATGTATTGTGCCTGAAGCCTGCACCGCGTTATATACACTACTGACTTGCCAACAAATTTTAATTATATTCTTTAATTGAACTACATTGCATCATATAACATATGTAAATAAAAACACTTTATACGTATTTGATCTAAAGAATTAAAATGTCAAATTATTAATTGTTATCAATATTGTCAATACGATTTTGGGGCTTATTTACACGGCATCAACAAAAATTTCAAATGCTTTACTCAATAAGTCTTAAAGAAATGTTGTTGTTTTAACGAGTTTGAGGCATTTTAAAGACATTTTGAAGAAAGTTTTAATAGTATACATGTAGCTTTCGATATAACTTCAATTATAACTGTGTAATTGAAATACCAAACCCACTTACTGATGTCGTACAGACCCTAATATTAACTTCTGCCATTATAAATGATGATGAACACTATTTGAACACTACACTGAAATATTGAAAGTATTCTTCTGCAAAGAATATATAAAACAACTGAAAACTCAAGATATTGTCAACGTTTAATAAATGTGGGACAAAATCTAAAAATCTTTTTAAATTCCAAAAGCAAGACACGGAAACTTTCCAACTTGAAAGTAGTGAATATTCTGATGACTCATTGATTGCTAATTTATTTGCTGCGTTTTTACCCGAATACTTCTAACGCCGTCTTCCGAACGATGATGTGAAAGTTTACATTGCTCAGTGGTCGAGGTCGTATGGGAACAACGGCCAAAAATACTTTCAGTGCAGATAACAATATGAATCTTTGGTTATGGTAAAAAACAAGTAAAACTAGAAGGTAAGTTCGGCCAGGCCGAACTTTTAATACCCTCCACAATTTCAAAAAAAAAAAAAAAAATTGAATAATTTAAAAAAATCCTAAAACTACCACTTAAATGAAAACCGTTATATGGGGACTATACAGGGTGAGATAAAAAAACTGCAACAAAGCCAAACGCCATAATGTTTACATTTTTTTAATTTCATTGAATGAAAGCAAAAGATGTAAACGGCATCAAATTTTAGAATAATTTTATATTTGTTCGAATTGGTCACCTTTGGCACGAATTACGGCCTTCAAACGGCCAATGAAGTCCTGGGGTATTTGGACACATTCCCGGCGAAGCGCTTGCTTGAGGTGATCGACACTTTGGTATTTTTTAGTGCCAACCTTGCTTTCCAAAATACTCCAGACACAAAGTCCAACGGATTGGTATCCGGAGATTTTGGTGGCCATTGTGCGCTGGAAATGAAGCAAGGAACTTCATTTTGTAACCATTTTTGGGTGGCGCGTGCTGAGTGCGATAGTGCTGAGTCCTGTTGGAATGTCCAAGGTCTGCGGCCAAATGTTTGCGTGCCCAAAGCTTTAATGCACTCTTCAGAATATTTTCGCGATAATATTCGGCATTTGTTCTGATGCCACGGTCAATTAACACGAGCGGAGAGCGACCATCGGCTGTTATGGCGGCCCACACCATCGCCATGGCCGTAAACACGATCATTTTGTTTGTTTACAAACTGATGGACTACGAATGTTTTATCATCGGAGAAAACCAAATACGGCTGTTCACCTCTTTCGGTCAAACGAAGCAACTATTTAGCTCTTTTGAATCTATTTTCTTTTTATTGCGGAGTAAGTTCTTGATTTTTTTTGGAATTGCAATGGCTTTAACCCGAGCTCAGTTTTTAATATTTAATATAATGAGCTGTCACTGGAATAATTTCAACAGCTGTCGGACGAGTGGCTTAGAAGTGACAGCAGTGTGAAGTTGGTTGTTTTGCTGTTTTTTCATCTCACCCTGTATGAAGATGTGGACTTGTATACGATTTTTTTTGTCATAGTTTGTTACAATTACGGTTAATAATGTCGCAAAATCATGAAAATGCGGAGTATACCGAAGAAGTGGACCTGTGCAGAAAATT